GCAGCCAGGGGGTAGACCACCTGTCCCGCGCACAGACCAATCCAGACCCATCACAGCTGGGATTTTCCCTGTTTTTATTTTGCCTTCTGTTTCTTCTAAGCTACACCACAAGGTAATACTAGGGGAGCAGGAGGGAGACGGAGCCGCTTGCAGGCATTTGCTGCGCTTGTCAGGGCTCAACAGCAGCGCGGAGAGAATCAACTTTTTCACGCTCGGACAGGGAAAATTCGAAGTGACACATGCAATGAATGGTAAAAATCCCCTGCCTCCTGCATCCGGGGGATACTTCAGCTCCCAGAGCCGTCACTCCAAGCTGTCACTAGATGGGGAGTATTGATTTGTATTCTTATGTTGTAGATACGGACTATTTCCCCCACACACATGCACTTAGTTTCAATCTTGTTCTCTGGCAAGGCCTTTTCCTGCATCTAGCCACACATACATATAAATAATCTATTTTTAGTATAAAGGTTGCCAGAGCCTAGGAAGAAACCATGGCTGGATATGTGACAGTGAAAACTTTCAGAAGACATAAAAGTGCAACAGGAGGAAGGAGAAATGCACAAACGTGCTCAGCTCATGCTCTGTTTCATGATTTTCTTTGCCCTTTAGGATCTTTGTGTCCTCCAGGGGCCAAAGTCCTCTCCTGCCCTATGCTCGGGTGCAGCCCCACTGCCAGGGCCTCCCTCGTTGAGCCATGCGCCCAAAAGCACCGGTGGGTCCTCCCAAAAGAGCCTGAGGGAAATGAACAGCCACATGTTCAGCTTCTTAACGGGCCTAGGAGACCACAGCAGTGAGGAAATGACCTTCTCCTCGCTCAGGCTGGGGTTGCCAGGTCACCGAAGCACAACCCGTGATGCCATGGGGAGCCCCATGGTGGGCCTGTCGCACCCCATGGTGGGCCTGTCGCATGAGCAGACCCACGCGCTCCCTCAGGAGGCTTCTCATGGTGGAGCCGTCGTGCGAAAGTCACCTTGGCGCAAGGCTCTGCGTTTGTCCCCAGGGTGGCCCTGGATCTCTGCGCTGGGATCTGCTTTCACCAGGAAGGGACGAGCCAGAAGTGCTGGAACTGGTGGGCGCTCAGCCCTCACGTTCACAGCCCTCCTTTCCAGTCCATCTTCATGAAGCTCAACAGTCACATCACCGTTAAAATCGTGGCTCAGGACCAGATTTGCTTAACGTTCAGCAGCCACAGCGACCACATCCGCTTCAACGTGGGCGCCCGGCTCAAGGTGAGTCCTCGGCACGTCCACACGGCCTGGCCAGCCCATGGACCGGGCAGGAGCGCGGCCTGGAAGCGGCTCAGCTACAAAAAGCCAGGGTTGTTGCAGCTGCTAAAAGGGATTGACCGCAAATCTTCAGGTGGAAAAAAAAAAAAAAAGAAAGAAAAAAAAAAGAGAAAAAAACCCACCATTTCATTCAAAAGCAAATTTCCTGCCCCTGTGAATCTTAATGAAATTCCCTTTCAGGAAAGCATTTAGATAAGACTGAAATGTTGTCGCTGAAGGGTAAGAACAGCACATCTCACAAATTCATTTTGAAACACTATTTCTTTTCAAAACATTTACATTAAATGTCAATACAAACACGAAGCTTCTGATTTTATCAAAAAGCATTTCACTTAACATGAACAGGGAGAGGAGCGGCGAGGTCCTTTGGCATTTGCTGCCACGCGAGTTTCTAAGCCCTGAGCCTTCCCAGGAGGCGGGAATGCTGTTTCCACCAGGGCTCAGCCCTGGGGTGACTGTCCCGACGTGTTAGTGTCCAGCACCCACATCCTCAGCTGGATGCGGACGCGGGCGGTCGGCTCCAAAATGCCCCATGCCATGGGACTACGTGGGGATGGCCAGGAGCTCACGGCCGCTCTTCAGCATCGCTGCTCTGCTCTTTAACGTGCGCTTTCATTGCAGTTGAAAGACCCCGAGACAAGACACTTGCTTAAAAGGCCAAGCAGCACGGAGGAGCTCTTCCTCGAGTCCAAAAGGAGCAAGCTCAAGAGCCTGCTCCTGGAGATACAAGCAGCAGTGCACCGCTTCTGGCACCCCCTCCCGCAGTGAGCTCACCGCTCCGGGTCCTCCGCTATCCGCCATCCGTGAGAAGCGCCACAACGAACACATGGAGACGCAGGGCCGGTGCCTGCGCCACTGGCTGACGCTTCAGATTTAATTCTTCCTTTGCGCCAAGGCAGTAGCAGCCGGGCAGCTTTGCTATGAAAATAAAGTGCCTTTTTCCAAGCTCCCGGCGCCCATCTTTGTGTAGGTTGAGCCCTTGTAACACCGAGCCCTGGATGGACTGTAGCAGGACTGTGGCAACACAAGAGGGCTGGGGGGCAGGAGAGGGCTTCCTTCCTACAGCTAAAGGACCAGTTAACCCCAAACCCGACCCCCTCAAACTGCCTCAGCCAAAACACATACAGGACAGGACAACGGGGAGGAAAAACAGGAGCCTGGGTGTAAGGAGATCCAAGAGAGGGTGAAGAGCCCCTCAGGCACCGAGGCTCCAGTCTGGGCAGCTGGTCATGCTCCTGCCTCACAAACCACCAGTTTCCCGAGCAGCAGGGACACGCTGATTTATTATTTCAAGTTTACACTTGGGGGTTTCTTTACATTGTTAAGGGGTGCAAAGACAGGCTGCAGGAGAGCCCCAGTAAGACCTGAGTGAGGGTGCAAGGAACAAGCGCCCAGGCTGCGAGCCCCAGGGCCAGGAGGCAGCACCTGGAATGAGGAGGTCTGGGTAGGTGCAACTGTGACCAACTGGGCAGCCACAACAGCTACTGCACAAAATAAGGCCTGAATAACACCAGGGGTTTCTGCCATCGGCGCCCAAGCTTACTCTTGGTGACGGCCAACTAGTTAAAACACGGTCTTGTAGAACAGCTGTGGTTTATTCCCCTTAATATAATTGCAGCAAAGAGACTATTTAGGCACACAAGATCTTTTTGTCTTTTCAGTAAAGAAAGTACAAATATCCTTTTATTATAACCATAAAGAGGGATTACTTAAACAATTAGCTGTACATTCAGCAGTCAGGTATTTATCTGTGCTAAATAAAGTCAGCTCTCTTACTGCTAAAAAGAACATTTTCTTTTTCTTAACAAAGCACGGTGTGCTTACAGGACATTTATTGTTTTTGTAGTACAGTTATGTTGACAGAGAAGCCTCAGGATACAGAATAAAGCTTTACTCTTGGACCAAAATAGGAGGCAACATTTTTATTTAAAAAAATTAAAAACAGCAAGTTTCTAGTCAGATAATATAAAGCATCTTAAATTAATCTCTTGAAAGTATTTACACTATTTGTAAAGTAAATATCTGAAACTGTACATGTTTAAACAAATGTTCATTTAGCAAACAGGCTGTATAAATTCACTGCTCTCCTGATCTCCCAGGCCGCTGTCCTGGAGCTGCCTGGCTGCTCCAGAGGTGAATAGATCCCACGCACAAGAGACGCTACCATCAGGGTTGCCCCTTCACACCTCTGTACAAGGTATTAAATCAGCTGTCATTCTGTACAGCAATCATGCAATCCTTCTGTAAAACTTTATAAAAACCTCAAATATACATATATTACAAGGCAATGGACATTATTTTACAGCCTATATTTCTACATGAGTGTAAAGAAAGGGTAAGTTTTCTTCCTCGTTAGTTCCTTTAGTGAATTTTAAGGAGTTATGGAAGGTCCTATAAGTACCATTTACGTACCTCAGCACCACTGCTGCAACACTTCTCACAGCAGCTTTAAATCCCAACCTTGTAGTCTCCAGCCATCTGATTTCTAACAGCAAATTGTTGTTTCAAAACACCACTGATGTGCACCAAAACTTCAACATAATTCAAATTACAGAACCGGTTTTTAAAAAAGTTTTTAAAAAATGCTATATGTAAGTCACCATATTTTTCTTTCGCACTGCTGCACAAGAAATTCACACACTGGGATACCCTAGAGCTGCTTTTAATGTCTCATTCTATTAATGGCAAAGCATTTAGCAATCAGCTTTGTGAAACAGAGTACTAACTGATGCATGTTGAACACTGTGCACTGTTTACCAGTTACTGAGCATTTCTCTTAGCCTCTTACTTGCCACGGTGATTTGAGGGTGCTTTCACATTCCTTTCTGACATCCCACCCCACATTAACCTTTATTCAGTGCACAAGGTCCAGCCCCAGCCCTGTTCCAGTGTGACCAAGCAGGGCAACACACCACTGATCAGGTAAGGCAAGGAAACTACTCCAAGGTGAAAACGTAGTATGCCCGAGAACCTCAAGGCTAAGCTTGGCCTTTGCTGCAAAGCACGTGAAAACACAGTTGTTTCCCTCAGAAACAACAGAAATTATATTGCACAGCTTTCCATGGAAAATCTCATGCATCTGAGATTCTTTACATGGAAGAGGTTAGAACGTGAACCTCCAGGTCAGACCTCATGAGCTCCCAGGCATGAGAGTATAAAAAGAATCAGGTGTTTTGAGAAGTTCAAGGAAAACAAAGTCTTCCCAACTAACAACCTCCAAAATTCAATCACGTGCATTCTCAGAGAGGTTTAAAGGAAAAGGAGCATGCCTACTAAAATCAAGTTGACATATGCAATGTGTTTATCTCAGAGCCTTGCAAATACCTGCTCCCTTCTCCATGGGATTTCCTCCACTTTAGTTAGAGTGTCTTTGAAAAATGCTTCTTTTCATTGCGTACATGAGCTTAAAAAACAAATCCTTTCTTGTTTTCCTTTACACGAACAAATGAAAAAAACAGGAAGTGCAACCTTGAAGACTGGAAAAGGCAGTAACTGAGCTTGCACAAGGAAGGGTTTTTTGCATTGTTATTTCCCTCTCCTCAAATAGCAAGACCTTCAAGGAATCTATGGAACTGATTTCCCCCCCTCCACCACTAGATCAGAGTTAAGCAGCCTGGAGAGCCTTAGTGCACACTGGGATCCTTTGCTCACTCCGAACCTTCGCATCCCCATCGCTGCTCGCTAATCAGCTGAAGTTTCCTTGAAGCAGCCTCTCTGCTGGGCTACTTGGACATTGACAGAAGTAAGTTCACCTGAAAGACAAAGTCCACCTTAGACATAACAGCTAAGATCTCATGTCTGATATTTTAGACTCTAAAAAGAAATCCTAAGGAATGTCTAAGGATTTAGAGAAACTAGAAGAACCATCACAAGACAATTCCCCCCAGTTTTCCATCACCGCCCTAGTCGGGCTTCCTAACAGGGAATTGCTGACCACACCGACTAGTCCTTCCAGCAGGCACAACCTATTGCATTAAAGCTTCTAGCAAGGGAGTCCAGGAAAAAAAATAGCTGGCAAAAAAACATGGCAGTAGCTATTTTCCTCATTATTTCAAGCATATGAGAGATCCTTCACAATGTTCATTTGCAATATGGTTTTCTATGCACTTTAATTTGTTGAAAAAAATGACTCTAAGGATCAACTGATAAGAGTGTTAAAGGGAGTCAACTTCTCTGCGATAATCCCACCTCCTTCCATTGGCATCAGCTCTTCTCTGGGCTCCACGACAGTTATCACACTGCTTGGTTGCTACACTCACTGCAGAAAAACTCCTCTTAATATTATCTTTATCTGTTTAAATACTGGCAAATCAGGACAGTCACAACTCTATCCATATTCTCTGGACCATTACAGCCAGATTACTTGTCCCTATATCTGTACATTTTCCCAAAGCAATTTAAATTCTATCTTATAATTTGTTCCCACTGCTTCCTAATATAATTCTGTCGTGTGTGTGAATATTTACTACCCCAGGTTCCTCCCCACAAAGATAAGGCTCCAAAGTGGGTGAAGTCTTCCAGCTGACTCTCTGCCAAGGCACTGTACAATCAAACCCTCTGCAACATCAACCACCACCTTTAATTTAAAAGTTGTCTTAACGAATTTACTAAAGAAAAACTTAAAAAGTAATTTTTAACTGAGAGTTCAGAATAACCCTGGGTGATCAAACCCAGGCTTTCAGGGGATAAAAATGGAAAAGGATTTGGAACACCAGAAAAAAAAAAAAAGAGACTGACTTTTTGCCTTAAAAAAAAAAAATCAGACATGTGAAAGAGCAACTGAAAACAAGGAGCTTCAACATACACAATACGTACCTGTTCCATTGAAGGACAAGCTATGATCTGGAGATCCTCATTACTAAATTCTTCCTTTAACAAAGCATGGAGTTTCTGGAACATTTGCTGAATGTTATTCTTTCGAAAGAGATAAAAATAAAAAGAAACAATGTTGAAATAACACAAAACTCATCTCAAATATAAGCTAGAGCAGGCATGATATACATGGAATAGCTACTGAAGGCCAGATGATGTGGCAGAGCTTTGAGGGGGTTTGCTCTAAAAAAGTCCAGAAGAGCAGCAAAGAACCCCACGTGGCTGTGAGGAAAAGTTTCACCTAAGATGTGAAGAAATGAAGCACTAAGTGCTATAGCTTTAAATGCTGGAAAACTCAAACTTGGGTCTTCTTGTGGGTTACAAGAGGGTCCCTGCTGGATCTGCATCACTCTCTCTAGCGCCAGCACTTCTGCCCATGAAGAGCTGGCCAAGGCTTAGAACAAGTTGCAGATGTGCAAATTACTGTGTTATTAACAGCAACATGGCCTATGTAGGTGGAATATAGGGAAGAGCAGGACAGCACATGGTATTTGTCATGCTTACTGGCCACACTGCTAGCCTAGAATATCCCTGTGTACATACACGTACATGCCAACAAGCTGCATGATGATACAAAATGTACTTAAAGTCTTAGGAACTAAATTAGGGTCCAACAGTTTAGTACACAAGAACAGGCTGATGTACATCTAATAATACTCACCCTAACTGGCTTAAACAGAATGAATTCTGTATCTTTATTGGACAAGTACAATGACATGCTTCGTAACGTTGACGGCAGCTTCGTTTTTATCGTCTTGTAAGTGGCAGAGACCAGATCATTGACCTTTGCTGAAAGAGAAGACAATTAACAGATTAGCATCCCCCTTTGCTAGTTCAAAGGCACATTCCAGAAGACCACCTCCACTTTACCTGAGCTGATTGGTACCACAGTGCAGGCTGAAAAAGTGCTGTCATCTCACTGCACGACCATAACACGTCGAACAAAGCTCTTTCCTCAGGATCTTGGGTTTCTCAGGATCTGCTCAAAACCCGACCCCTATTTCCCTGCAGTAAATCCATTCAACCTCTATCTGCAGCTCCCCACATCCTCCAGATGTTCCTGAGGTTGCAGTCTTCCAACAGCAATAAAGATCTACTTAGGCTTTCTTCTAGAAAGCTTCCTTACCCAGAAAAGCAACTGCTGGGGAATAAAAAGGCCTAGCAAGGAGAACAGTGTATCACAACTTCTCCTTACTGTCCGTGTGCCATGTCTACAGGAAGAAAGGCTGCGTGGCCACCTGGAGGGTGACTCAACCAGACAGGAATCCTGTCTCAGACAAAACCATGTTGCTTTACTGCAGCGGATTTTAATGGTTTTACAAGATCTTTGCTCAAGGGGCAAGACAAATCTATATTTCATAGCTTTAAATCCCCAAAGTTAACATATTACATTTTCTTCCTCATTTCTATGGTATCTAAATTTTATTCCACCTACTCCTGCTTTCCAGACAAATGACCCCGAAAAACACAAGCTCCGCTTACATCTGCTTCTACACCCATAACTATCTCCAAAGAAATGTTAAAAATACTCATAAACAAGTCAGAAATAAGCAGAAGCCCAAGTCAGCCCCTGAGATTGCATGAACCATGGAGCAGCACTGAATTATGAATGAATATTGCTGCCTTTGCATTTTACGAAATGTGACACAACAGAAGGCTCCAATGTAAGAAGTAGCATAATAAGATTTCTCAGTGCCTTGTGTTAGCTTAACCTTGTAATACAAAGAGCAAAAACAACCCAGGAGTATCTTAACTAGGCTACATTGCCAAATGTGCTATGAAACATTTGTGTTTGCGTTCTCAGTTAGAGGGAGGCAAAGCTGGATTTCAGACAGCCATTGAAAAACTGAAGAGGAAATGGTTACCAAATGTACAGGCAACAAAAGTTTCAATGTTGACTCACTTTTTCCCATAAAAGCAAAAGTTTTTTCTTAATTTGATCTTAATATCTTAAGCACATTCTGTATTCAGCTATGGAAATGCTGTTTTCATGCAAAAACAGGCGCAGCTTGAGAAATGCTGAAGTCATCCATCTTCTGCACCAATTAAGGGCAAACTCTGGAGTTTGCCAGATTTCATTTAGAGGAATCTTAAAACATTTAAACTAGAATGCAGGTCAAAATATAAGCCAAGATTTTCAAGAATAAGATAGTTCTTAGGTGTCAGTTCTTAGGTTCCTACTCCGAAATTTCTACATCTCATTCTCAAAATCCACATTAAAATGCCCAACTTTTCAGATTACTGTTTTTTTTAAGGAGTCATGCACTGAAGCACACACAGAGAGAAATGACATTCTGAAATACTCTAGCTCCACATAATGCAGCTTATACCACTCTTCCAAAAACGATGAGTAGAAGAGGTCTGTCTTCTCCACTTCAGGTGAAGTTTTCAAAAGAGGTCTCAAAACAGAAAATGAGTGTGGCTTTACCACCACACCAGCATCTTGGAGATAACAGAAGAATGCAAAACAAACAAATACCTGGTTGTGCCCACGGTTGCTGGGACAGGCTGTACTTGGGACCTCCTTGCGTGGCCATTGTTTTTAAAGCAGACACCTAAAACAATCACAATCAACACAACGTTATTCCTTAATTTTTGTTGAAATCACAACAAAAAGATCCAGTAGTAATTGCACAAATCTCTCAAACACTGCAGTTTACCTTACTGAACCTTCCCTTTTCTCTCTCATATCTAAGGCCTGGCTTAATAATAAAGAGAGGAAGGAGCTTGACAGAAATGCAATTCAAAAACACAGTCATCATCATTTCTTCAAAATAAATTCAAAATGGGATCAAATTTACAAAGACACATAGGCAGATGGAGAAAACTCAATAGCGATTTATATTCGAGAATGTTGAACTGCCCAAGTTTTCAATAAATCAAATGAAGATAATTTGGGCAACTCCAACAATTCCACCAATTCCCTATCTGTATTTTAGGCATCTTACTGGCCCCTTGCTCCAGTATTACAGGCATCAGTAAAATTAACACTGAATCTTCGGAATTCTCAGAAGGCAGCAAGTGGCATGATGTTTCTGGCACTCACGCAACGCCACAGCCCCAAGTGCTGAGATGTCAAGCTATAAAACCACTTCTACTCAGTACATGGTATCCACAACACACTTCTCATTTTCCAGAAGAGATCCTGCTGTGTTTTTTTCTCCACATGTCCAGGAATTCTAAATTCTAGAGCAGGTTCTAGGAAGAAGTCTATTGGAGCACGATGCTTTTTTGTTCCCGACTCCTACAGTACCTTTCCACCCCCCATCTAGTCAGTAATTTCTGTTACAAACTGGACTTGGGAGGCAAGTCCTGCTCAGACAGCATCTCACTGCTCTGAAGCTGACTGAAAACCGACAAGCAAACGCAACAACAGCCCTACTCTAAGACTTCCCTTCAAAGCTACATGACCTGAGACTGTTTTTGGAGACTTTTATCCAAGTGCTGAATTTATAAGTCCTCTTGCAAACAGGGAAGCTTGTGTCAAATTTCACAGACCTGTTTCATTGAGCTGAAAAGCTTTATAATGAAAGAGCACAAAGATTCACTTAAAAAACAAACCAACTGTGATTCATTCCTTTGATCCTGCAGTCTCAAAAGTGCCTGGACATTTCTCATTGAGACTTCTAAGGAAACATGATCTTCCAGTGGGAGACGTGGTCACCTTCAGCTAACCAGGTAGCACCAGCACACTCTTATATCCGATTTAAAAATTAATGCACTGGACCCACTGATTTTTCGGTTAGGTTAATAAACATACAGCAGCTTTGTACCTTTGTCATGAACTCCTCCAGCTGTTCTATAAACTGTTTGGTCTGCTGCTGAATGAACTGCTCGCAAGCTGATTTCAGATGACGATCTACATCTTTTTTAGAGTCGATGTAATGTTCTCTGATTTCTGGAGTACCCTTGAAAAAAAGACAAGAATTTTCTCCTTTTTATTTGCCAGAGATCACCACCCACTTAAACAACAAGATTTTTCTCGTGCAGTTAAAGACCCTCTATTACCTCCAGTAAGAACTGTATCAAGGCATTGTTGCTGTTTAGCCTGAAGAATCTTGACACTGCCTTTGGGTTGAGGATTTTAAACGCTGCATCTGTGAAACAAAGTCGCTCACATTATAAGTACATGTAATTCAGCTAACCTGAAGGGAACCTAAAACATTAATCGCTCATTTGCTCATTAAAATGGCATAGCATCATCACCTCTAAAACATGAGGGAGGCCACTGCTGCGTGTGCACATGGACATAGAAAGGCACAGACACACACACAGTTTGATCTGGGTGTACACCATGCTGGGTACAGCACACTCAGCTCCAGTGGTGCTACTGTTAATTTACCTGTTTAAGGTAGATACATCACCTAAAGGAACAGCTGACTGCCACTAGCTGAAATGCAAACAACAGGAAATACTGCAAAACCTTTCCATTTGTAACTCTGCTTAAAAGTGAAAAAACCCCAAAACTTCACATAGCACAAAACTTCGCATAGCAAACTAAGCAGCTAAAGGAAGTCAGAATTTGGCCCATGTGGCCTCAGAATACCAAGCATGGTTGCACAAAATAACTTAGAACTGGCACTGTCTTCCTGTGCAGTTTATTTCTGTAGTTAGGACTAACCAACAAAACGTTGCTTGTAGTCTGCAGACATCTCAAGAGGGAAAAGCAGTTATGCCTGCAACTAGCACAAGATACCCAAATTATTCCTATGTATCAGAAGGATGTCATCAACCTTAAACTTAATCAAAAAATCAATACTTATCAATACATTTTCAGCAGTGCTTTCAGCAATGCCTGTAACCCCAGTATCTTTCATTCATTCGTCCTCCTACATCTCAAACTTTTTCTTTTTTTAATTTTAGAAGCAGGTCTCTACCCCTGTTGCTGCGTAAAACAAAGGGAAGGAACACAGATACGTGCCTTAAGAGAGCACTGTCAAAGGCAATAAACAAAGAGCAAATACCAGGCACGCAGGCTTGGCACTAACCTCAGAGTCTATGTAGTTACAGGGGACGGCAAAGGAAGATTCATTTCTTCCTTTCTTCTCTTATTCCCTAGAAACTTTACAGATTCTAAAAAGAACCTAAGTTCCTAATAAGGTGCCTAAGAGCTAACCAGTCTGAAAACCTCTCCCCACTACATCTTTCAATTATAATACCCTAGCATTACCATAATTTTTTTTTTTGAAAGCTTCATTTCTACATTAAGGAATGTCCCTTTATCTTTATCTATGAATCCCAAGTTATACCTTTATGCAGAAAACTGCCTATAAGACAGTAAAACTCCTATCAGCCACATTATTTTGCTTCCAGAACTCAACACAGATACAAAGTCTTTAAAGCCCTACTGGTTTAAGCTGTACTACATTAGGGATTATGCACAGCTTACATCTTTTCAATCCCCATACGCAGCACAAAGTGTTTTCCATTACTTACCACCACCAGCAGCAAAGCCCTGGCTGGCACAAAAATTTATTCAATTAAATGGAGAACAAATTTGTATGTCAGCCAGGAAAAGACACCAAAAGGACGTATTTACCCTTTAACCTCCAGGCAACTAGAAACTACTCAACAGGTAGGAGGTTTCATTGATGTTCAAATGCAACAAGAGAAATGGTTAGTGTAAGAATTTCTTAGTTCAAGGAGCACATTAGGCAGCAGGTAAGAAAAGTTACTTCTTCAGCTTTCTCTTCTGGAAAGAAAGTAAAATCCGACAAGTTTCCAATTACTTTTCCCTTTAGAGACTTACAGATTCCTCAACCCTTCAACTTTTCCATGAGATTTCTTTTCCCCATGCATTTCACAAAGCAAGCAGAACACAGTTTGAGAAGCCAGGCCATCACTCTTTGTTTTCCCTTCCTGAGAGGCATGCTCACTTCATAAAACTTTTCAGTAAGGCTGCTTATTACATTTGCAACAAAAGCACCCCTTTCCTAAACCAAAATTCGCAGGAATTTTTGATGTATTCTGTGCAAGTCAGCTATAAATCTTTAAATCAACCAGCTAACCAGCAGCAACAAAAGTTAGTCTCTTAAAAGGTCAGCAAAATGGAGAGACATCTCTGTGAAATGGAAATGTAAAGACTACTTAGCCTTTCTTAAAAAGATTGCAAACACAAGTTAAGTCAGCAGCAGAAAGCACAGGCAAATGCATTTCACACACAAAGCAAGGAACTTGTCAGAACCATCTTGGATTGCCCTTATACAGGTGCTTATTTTGTTCTTTTTTTTGGATTCCTTTTTCTTCAGAAAAAATAAGACTAAAGCAGGAGATTAGAGCAAGCCCACAGGGTCATTGCAGGTGAACATAAAATAAACCCACAACTTCTGCTAGCACAGTAAGGGAGGACAATCCCATCCCTTTCTGTAGCCAGCAACTGTTCAGTACCTCTAGTTTTCTTAAGGTCCAGGGAAATTTCCTTAATGGTGAATTCAGTGTGGAAAGGAGCAATTTGTTCACGAAGAATCAAAAGATGTTTTATTAAGAAAAGCTGTCCATCAACCTGGGTCTACAGCACAAGAAAAAGAACACACATCACAACTTTAAAAAACATTAAATGAGCAGCAGTCTCAATACCTCCCCTTTTAGCAGGTGCTTACTCTAACAAAATTGATTGCAAAAGCCTTACAAGTTTTTTCCATTAGTCTGTGACACCATTAACTACAATCTGGGACCAACAAGCCCCACTTTGGGACTATTCCTAATAGATCCCTCTACTACTGAAGCACATTTTATTCATGCTCCTTAGAAGGACTAAATTATATAGCAGTATTACCAACTCCACTTTATACACAGGTTTGAGAGATTATTTGAGATACAGCCTAATTCTTCATAACTTAGTTGCTTTATATAAATAGTTCTTGTACATCATAACTTAGAGTGGAAAATCAGGGCTGGATAACTAGGAAAAAAAAATCAGGACAACTAATCAAGGTTATGGCAGAAACATTAACTGTACTATTGTGCCAAAGTCTTACAGGGCAGTTTTCTCATATCATTAAATGCAAAGCTCAGTTAATGTTGAAACAGTACAGCAAAGACATGAGGAATAAAGCAGGGCCAAGTTTCCACCACTGCCACCATGGGTTCTGCACTGCTGGTTATTTCAGCCACGCGGTTTACGCTGCGTGCAGCTTTGAACCTTTAAAGTTCATGGCTCATTGAGGTAAATGCAGGAGGATTCAGGAATACTTCTTTGCTTTGCAAGCTGGAAGAGAACTCTTCCTGACATAACGTTAAAATAGCTAAGTAATTAATTTTCAATTCACAGTTTTAATAAATAAAAGCGCTACTAAAAATAAATGGTGAGAAGCTTTTGAGTGCTCATTTGTTCATTCCTTTCTAATTTTTATGTGTGTGACTTCACCCAATAATATTAAATTAAGAGGTGTCACGAGCAAAGGGACAGACCCCAGTCTCGGGCCAACCAGTCTAGAGCTCATTGCCAGACCAGTTTCAGTCTTTACAGTCAAAAGCAGCCTGGTTTAGTGCTGGAATGGATAATTATCTGTAGAGCTCTGGATTATATATGACCTGGTTAAGTGTTCAAGTTTAAAGAAAATGTTTGAATTTTTCTTTAAATGATTTTTATCCGATTATATTTTTAGAAGGACACACTCAGAAGAATTAAACACTTCAAAGTAATTCTTCACTTCTAAGAGCATCTGTAACTTTCCCCCACTACTAAGTATTTATTGTTTATATAAAAATCACCAAGTCTAGGCGAATAAGACCATTTCTTGGCTGTTAGGAATTAGCAAATTAGTGTTTTCATTAAAGAAACTGAAATAGAAAAAAGGGGAATAAAAAAAGGCTTCATTCAATTACAGTTACATTTAAGAAAGTCACATTTGAGGCATAAATAACTTCATGAAACTGCTTCAAACTGAGGAACAGATCAGTGAAAATCTTTTGATTACAGACAGATCTAATAAACGAAATTTTAAAAAATCTCCCCATCAAATAATTGAAAACTATATATATATTCATATAAAATATGTGTATATATATATATACACACACACACATATATATAATATATCAGAGAAAAGGGTAACAGGCAATGACAATAAAGAAATACCAGGAGCAGAGATTTCCCTCAGAATTTCTCTTTAGGTATCACTTGATGGAATTCTTGTTGGCATCCTGTAACCATGGTGTGCAGTTCTGCTTTTGAGATGGGCTTATGTATGAACTTCTATCTTACAATCTCTTACCATAACTAAGAGCTAGCAATTCCTTCAGATCTCGGAGGACAGAGCAATGCACTTTAAGAAAGATTTCAATAGAATTAAAAAAAAAAAAAAACCACGCCCACACAGTAAAAACAAATTGCTTTTGATATATGCAGGAAACGAGAACAACCCCATACCCAAAGCCCATATTCCGACCTTGTTTTTGCTGATAGAATCCGCAGCTCCGAGCAGCGAGTGGATGCAGGCAGACAGAGCCTCCTGCGATAGCCCCTGAAACACTGCCCTCTGCAGGGATGAAAACACAGCCAAAAAGGGGATTACAAGGCACGAGGAGCGCTCCGAGCGGCACCTCGTGCACTAGACGCTCCCAGGAACCCAACGCTACCGCCTGACTTGCTAGGAACACGCTGCCTAAATGCAGGAACACAGGAAGCAAACATAAAAGCCTGCTCGTGCTGCCAGTTAGATGGATAGAGGCAGGCACTTGGCAAGCCCTGTGGAGTGACCATCATGACAAATATTCACCTTAACAGGGCTCATGTATTAAGTAACGAGGTACTAAGTTTCTAGTTTCTTTTTTAGCAAGTAACACCACGGCAGTAGTTCACCTAGCACCTCAAAAATATTTTGAAATGCGTTAACTTGTATTTAACACAGGAAAACAAAAAGCACTTGCAGCAAGTTTGTCAGAGGCTTACCAGTCTTACATTGGTAGATGACAAATAAAATCTGATTTTAAAGGGAAAGTCTAAAAATATTCATGAAGCAAACTCTGCATGTGTGTATGTTTGATGTGCAGATAACAACTGCCTTAAATACTGGATAATGTAAACACCTGCTTAGTATCTGTGTATATTTCCAAGGCTGTGATAACACGCCACAAAGTACTGAAGACATTTCGAAAACATAGAAATAGTCATCATTTTTAACTCCAGAAACATCACCTTGTGCAAAGCACACAGCAAGCAGCATCCTGAGATACTGGGTTCAGCAACAAGTTCACTCCCTGTAATGACATCGAATTTTCTACTTTCTTCTGCCTCATTCTCTCAATCCAGTGACGAGCATCTTAAGCATCAGAAACTGAATTATAATAACTAATACTTTATACGAGAGTCTTCTTTCCAATGCTACAGATAGAAATTTGTCTTGGAAATCATGACCTAAGTTTGTCAGTTTACTTGGTTTGCATGAAGACACCCGCAAAAAGACTAACAAGAAATAGCAGAGGCCAGGAATTATCCATTACTAATTTAGCTCAACATATTTAGAACTGGTACTAGATGCTCCTTCGCTTCCCTTGACACTAGATAAAGAAATGTTTGCGTACATCTATGCATCTGTAGAGCTTGGAGAGACACACCAGAGTCCTTCTGACAGTAGGATACCACATCCCATGCAGATCTGCTGGCGAAATCGTCGTCTGGTGCCTGGCATTAAGAGATAACCTGTTTAAAAGAAAACCACACACATGAAAAACCTACCCCTCGGCCCTATCCAAACCCATCTACCAGTACTTTCAACTGAAGGATGCTGCAACACAGACTACAATTTTTATTGATTTCCTACAGCAATATCATATGCACTACAGCACCAAAATTGCTTAGTTTTTTCCTTCTCTGCAGGGCAAACAAGATTCTGTGAAAGACATGAATTCGCTTTCAGGAACGGTGCAGCCTTACCCTTTTCTAATGAATTAGTTTTAAAAGGATGTCTCCAATGACCCTCACCCCCTTAAGTCCAGCAGCTGAAAATGGTCAGACAAACAATTACTAGCGAAAGGTGTTCAAGAGAAAGGGATATTCCCAGAGAACTATGGAAGATGCTCAGGAAAAAAAAAAAAAAAAGAAAAAGGAAAGAAAACCAAGCCATTCCATCAATTTTACTTCTTTATGCTTTTCTTATTGCTGTGGCTGATCTTAGAACTGCAGAGGTGCAGTTTAGGCATCATACGGCATAAATGATTCAAAGGCAAAAAGGATAATGACATGGAGTTTTCAGCAAGTATTTTTAAAAAATCCCACCTCCTGGACAACCGTTATAACATCCCTGTATGCTCAAAATGGATTTTCCCAGATCATGACAGATAGAAATCTTATATTATTCTCCTTTTCCCCTTAGATGCTGGGAAATGGCCAAGCCAATAGCCTGATAACCTTGATCTCAATTTGCAACCACTCAAAAGGAAGTTTTGAAGTTTTACCTCTTGAGGGAATATGCCCTTGTGATTCAATTATGTGATGTGGGAATTGTCTAAAAACAACCCAGTAGCATCTTCTCTTGTTTTTCAATTAAAAAAAAAAATCAGACCTTGGATTTTCTGTCTGAATTTCCTAAGCTGCTTATTAGACACTTCAGCTCTTTCTGTAGGGACTGAAAAGGGAGATGCTGACACCCTCAAGAGGTCACTAATCCCAGTCCTCTGGGGCATTTGGGAATGGGATGCAGGATACCAGAGAGGTCCCTCCCTTCTCCTGGAGGCTGGTGGGGTCTGTGTGACTGTTACGTGCCTCGGGCTGGGCAGGCAAGGTATGAGCCCTGCTCTTCCCAGGGTCTGCAGGCTCTAAATAGAAGCACCAGCAAGATCTGTGCATGCCTTGCAAGCCAAAAGAAGGAGCAGGTAATCAAAAGGAGTATGAGAATGAGCCAAGAAAGATGCTGCTGAGAAACACCACCATTCTGACAAGTGACAAAACAAAGGCTGATATTCTTCATGGGTCTTAGCCATATACTTATAGGGTTGTAACATTCACTAACATTCAGTAACTGACATTAAATTTCACAAAAATTGCTCCCAGTTCACTGTAATCTGCTGACACACAGGTCACATTTAAAATGTCAAGGACTGGTGAGTTATTGCAAAAGCATGTAAAACTACTACGTAGAAACCCATTCTGAGGAAAAAGTCACTTCTTCAAACAAAGGCCCAAACAAAAACACTTCTGAATACTCAAAGTATTCAATTAACAAATGGATTTTTAAAAATATAACAAGAGCCACACCAAAATACAAAATTAATTTGCTCTTCATTCCAAAAAGTTGAGAAGCTCAACTCAAGACAAATTTCACCTCTTAAGACTCATGCAAGTTTCTCACTGATAGGTCAAGTTAATCCTCACTCGCCAGGAGCTTTATGCATTAATTTGTCAGTGTGATATGCAATGTATTTCGAGGCATACCAGATTTAGCTAAGCTGCAGGACTCTGGATCTTCTAGCCGGACATCTGAAAATGAAGCTTCGGATGACAGCTTCTGCTGTTCATCTTTTAAGCTCTGTGCAATTTGCTGTAAAAGAAGAAAAATGTTCTTTTGTTTGTTTGCTTGCTTTTAAAGAAGCCTATACTTCTCTGTTTATAATTTAAAAAAGTATTGAACCTTAACAGAAGTCTGCTACACTCAGATCTCCAGTATTTTAGCGAAACCAAAACATAGTGAAGACAGCTTCTAAAACAGCAGTAGAAGCACGTTAACACCTACTTAAGACCTGGAAGTATTATACAGATCTGCATAAAGGGCAGTGCTTTCCATTCTGCCCATTTTTACTTCTCCATAAAGATTAACCAACAAGCACCCAGAAACAGTAGCTCAGACCTGGGGACCCAATTCAACACTTAGATTCAGTCACTGGATGTAGATAATCTCTGTGATGGTTTTATTATTATAAATGCCACATGCAGATAGTCCTGAAGTGCTCTCATTCACTCCCCACAGGAGTTCAACAAAAAGCTTTCTTAATAGTACTTAACATTTTTACATTTCGCCCTTATTGGTCTGCTTCAAAGCAGCTACACAGAGCAAGAAGAAGGAAAGAACTGCATTAATATTTGAGCAGAACAGTGTAAGAAATGGCTCTGCCCTGTGCTTTTAATGCTTTAATAATTCAGTTATCCAGACAAAAGGTCTCTCTAAATATGAAAGTTTGGAGGTTAAAAAGCAATCAAGCAGGAAAATGAATCACAAACCAGGTGAAAATGAAAAAAAGGAGTTTCAGGAGGACATAAAAAGAATAGGATATTTCTCACTAAAATGAACTGTAAAATTCATTTTCTTCTTCTCCCTAAGAGTCTGGACATAGAACCCTAATCAGAAAATAAGGCCTGGTGTAGACTAGGATGCTCAGCTGCCTGCCTATGCAAGCATCACTAACATTATAAAACTCCCACAATTATTTTTTTCTCCAGTTTTACTGATGCAATTAAAAAAAGTCCCTGCCCTGCAGTCCTAGCAGTTTTAATAGTACAACTGTTGATCTCCATCCATCATGAACAGAGAGATGACATTATCTGTATTTTGTGTAGTGGATTTTGATTACTTGCTTTTTTTTTTTTAAAAAAAAAAGAACTTTCATTTGTCATTAAACTTTCAGAATAAAATATATGGATTCCATAAAACTCACTAGCTTAGGGATTATGCACTTTCCTAAAAACCCATGAATTTCATTTAGAATCACCAAAACATAAATTGGAATGTAATAACACTTTTATAAATTTATAAAAATGAGATTCTCTCTCTCACTGCTGAGAAAGTTCTCACGATGCTTGTCAGGTTACAAGCCAGAATTGCACACAATAACATACAGTTATATAATGGCAATTTCTTCAAGACCACAGGCAATGCATAAAACAAGCTTTCTTATAAAACAACCTTTATAGGAAAGAAATGTTGATTCTCAAGCCTTTTTTTACGAAATGAATGGCAACAGTTGCTGTTCTGGAGCCGTTTTATTATATCTGATTCCTTCCATGTAGCACTAGCTTTCAGTTGCTTATCAAATGCAGTTTGCTCTGGTCAAAAACTAAAGATCTTAATTGACCACCACTGTAATTCTGTAAGTAGTTTCATACTCAAATCTTTTATTGTTCTAGTTTTCACCATGTAAAATTAATATAATTATTTTGATTCTTTCCAAAATGAACAGAAACCCAGAGAATGACCCTAAAATGACACGATCTGTGCATAAAGTGCAGAATAACACTCCCTGACCAGTAATTCTGAACACACACCTGTAGCACAGTTATATAAGTGTGTCTCTTAAATATATGTAAATATATATATCCTGCAATAGTCACTATTCATGGAAGTAAATAAAAAAATACTACTGTGAAAGAAAAACTTGTTAAATGTGAAAACTACGGTCAGTTTTGCTGAGCTGGATGTAAAGTGTTCTTTGACACTGAGCTTGGGTCATAATTCAAATTCAGCGGATGCCACTTCAGATGGTAGCAGTAATATTACAGACAGGTGAAAACAGGGAAAAAAACACAAAAAACCCTCACACATCTGCAACGTACTGTACTCTATACTATATGCTTGTTTATGTTATCTATATTAAAAAAGAAAGAAAAAACAAAGAAAACAAGATGATACCTCCATCATTTCCAACTTGTCAGGATATGCAAGATCCCCTGGTGCAGGCTTGTAGCCTATGATATCAGTCTGAATGTAAATGTGTGTCCTGTAGACAAGACGCTCTTGAACATCCTCTAACATCTGCTTGACACCAGCAGCAAAAGCACCCAGCTGCTCAGCTGGAAAAAATAAGAAAAACACAATTTGTTAATTCCATTCCAAAAATAATTTTGGGAATGTAAAAGTTTAAGTAGCTCATATAGAACTGTCAGAAATATGATCTGCTGCAGAAGTCAGAAAACTTCTGCAACAGCAGCAAGCAAAAAAACCCCTTGTCACGCATCAGGAACTACAGAACTCTATTTTGCAGTCACTTCAGATCTCAAGCTTTCAGACTCAGGAAATTCCATTTCAAATTGAAAACCTCAGCCATCACATTAAGTATTTTGATTATTTGAAAGACTTATCAGAACTAGAAGTTCAAGAGCAGCATTTCTACCTGTACACTTCTTCGCTTTTAGCATACCCAGCGTCGTCAGGGTGCCTGGCAAGAGCTGACAGCCAAACTCATCTATGTATCCCAAAAGAACAGGCGACCCAAAGCAGCTCAAGTCCAGCTTAAGAACTACTATATCAGCCTAAATATAGGTAGTAGAAAGTCTCTCCTTAAGATGAGTCTAAATACCATGCTACAACTTTTTCCTCATTCCCAAGAGTGTTAAAATTGCATTCCAGGAAAATAAACAATTCGTGATACTTACAAAGATGCAGAGATGAGTTCTCTGTTTTATAAACCAGCTATCAAGCACAGTTTCTTTCCAATGCTTGTTCAAAGTCAGGTCTGTGAAATAATTCTGTTACTCTCTGGTAACCTTAAGATGAGTTGGCAGATTTTTTATGATGGTCAACCCTTTTCTACTAAATCATGAACTCAGAACTCTTTCAACACACTGAAGTTTCTATCAACTACATAAATCTTCTGTTAGCATCACAACCCTTAGCATGGGAGCTGCTAGGTCAAGGAAAGACAAAACAAAAAAAGACAAGCCACCAAATAGGTCTGCATTCCTTTTGTTTCATCATTATGCATACATAAGTCTCTATAGGGATGGACCAACCAGAGCAATTTATTCATTTGAAAAGATGCATTTAAATCAGTCCTGGTCCATGTATACATACTGGCTGGCTGGCTGCTTACAGTAGGACAGTTATAAGTAATAGTACTCTGCAACACCAGTGTATTACTTTACATAAAGATAAAACGCAGTCCTTAAAAATACAGACCTTTATACTATAAATAAATAATGAAAATAACCATACCATCATTGAGATGTTTAAGGTATTAAAAGGCATTGTGTTTTTAATACAAAACAGAGTAACACAAAAAAATCCAGGGAGTTTGCCTGTGCAATTCAGTAACACTTATTTCATCAACTAGGAGGACTGTTAAAAACTATCAGATTCCACCTATGAGTTACCATTGTTCTGCACATGATCTTCAAGCATCTCGTTTTTGAGAATCCCACAGAGTTCAGATAGAGTCTCCAAGTGAATAACGTGGATGATCATTGGCCTCAGAACATCATACAATGAAAGACACAACTTCTCCAGGAGTTCACTGTGAAGAAAATATAAAATATAACACCATAAACCACACTTTCAGGATTTCAAAGTGCCAAACTAAAATCATATCACAAATATATTTATAAAGTGAGGGCAAGAAAGCAAAGCAATAGGGTACCATAAAAGTCCTAGAAAACAGTTGTTTGAAACACAACCTTCCTGACAGGTCTCTTTTAGTTACAGAATACAAATCACTTCAAATTGGGACAGAGTTTTGAATTCATCAGCAAAAAGACACGTGACCTATCACAATGGGAAATTGCTGCAAATTCATTTTCCTGGCTTCTTCATAAAGAAATGTGCCTGCTGAGCTCCGAACCACATCCCCACTCCCTTGTGATGAAAAGCTCATCCACTTGCAAGTATCCCACAGTTTATCAGAACCAGGAACACAGGAACAGAAGCTTGGTAACCTCCTCTAAGTATTGTCAACATCTATTGCAGTTTCTCTCAGCATTCACCTTCCAACCTAACTGAACACACCAAACATTCCCACTCCTGTTTATTTGCTGAATATTCATTTCTTGTTTTAAAGGAAGTTTAAGTAAGGACACAGAATACTCTAGGCTATATTTGTCATTCTGAATGCTCTATTTACTAGTCACGCATTAGCTGATAATGCTGTTAATATTATCTGAAAGTTCAAATCATCTCTCAGTTTAAACAAGGCAGTATCAAACAATAAAGATAATTAAGTACTTGGAACCTTTTTTTTTTTTTTTTTTAAGTACAGTTTGGTACAGTTTGTTCACTACCTTGTAAAAAAAAACCCTCAACCCCCCTTTTTTGTGTGTTTTTGGTGTTTTTGTTTGTTTTTTAATGTTCAGAGAAATTTCTGAAAAGGACATTCAGTTTCTTTCACAGCACAAACAGAGTGAAAATGATTTTGAGCCTGTCTCTCAACGGCATTCTGTAACATTAGAATAATGTTACTGGTAACACACTAACCCCCAAGTTAAAAGCATAAACCGAGAATGTTTCAGCTACCTGAACACAACTTCATCTCAGACCTCTACTGTTGTCCAGAGTTTTGGTAAGCTCTTAAACCAGAACACAGACACCTAACTAATATTTCTTCAGAGCACCTCAGCATTAAAAAAAGAGGCCATTAGGCAACTCTGAAAAACCTAATTCAGAGATAGGCAAAAAGGGAAGTTGTGACGAGGAATACCAACATTCCATCAAAAGTCATGATTTACAAAAGTTGTTGTTCTTGGTTTGAAGTGCAATTGGGATTAAATTTCTGACTTCAACTAAGGACACTTACTTCAGGAGCTAGTCTAAGTTGGCTAAGTGGAATTCTTACTCTGATTTTGAGGTGACGTAACTAAATTGGCTCATGTCCAGCATAAGACCTCAATTTTTCAGAAAAGGGCTCCTTAAACTGGGCAAGCAAAAAGTAAAAACAGTATCACAACCACAGCAACTCATACTGACAAAAAGGAGGGACAGAGTTGAGGGTTGAAGTACTTTATGTACTGGAGAAAAACTTGTAAAAGTCACTTCACAGACCCTAGGGCCACTGCCAGCAGAGATCCTTCGAGAAGAGACCTGGACTAAGCTTAGCTCCTCCGTGACTGGTTTAACATTCCCCCTTCACCAGGTTCCTGCTTACAGAAGCATTCCTTCAAACTTCACTGAGTTTCGTGGGCTTGGAAGCATTTGTGGTCTCTGTGGAAGCATTTGTGGAAGCATTCAGGTCTCTGACAGTATGGATTATCCTTAGGGAGCTTCCATGCACTTCCAGCTTATCCTTATTTAGCTCATACTCCACTGACTTGATATTAAGATAATGCAATATTGTTTCAGTTATATTAGCATAGATATGCTTTACTTATAAACTTCATAGAATATGACCTGTCCATATTTTAAAATTAAAATGTCATTAAAACATATTAGCAAGATGGAGAAAGGGAGCAAGCTACTCACATTTTCACATTTCAGAGCTCCAGACTCTTATGATGTAATTTCTATGCAAAGACAAACACCCTCCAGATCTAGTCAGAGATCACTGTCCCTAGATGTCTGCTACTGTCTTCAGTTCATGTCTTAGGCAGGAAAATGCAAATATTTTTTGTCTACAAAGCCAGCTTGCCAACCCCTAAATTACCAATCTAATTTTACACTGAAGTTGATGAAAAGCATTTCTGCAATTCACTGTGCAAACCTTAGGCATGGAGGCAACATGAGGACAGCCAGGAGCTGTAGCACTGTAAACTTCAACAGCTATTCCTGTGTGTGTCTCAAATTATTCACTCAGATAAATTATCCATAAGTTATCCATAAGTTATCAGCTTTGCTTGAAAAAAAAGAACTCCAAGAATATCAAAACCTGAAGCACAGCAAAAGTACTTTTTTTCTGCTGTTTCTTAACAGACAGTTTAAATACAGTTATATTTGTCATATCATGCTGACTGCTATTACCACAGCACAGTAAATACTAAATGCAGTAAAATAAAAACCAGCATGTACCACCTACTCCAGTTTTGGTGTTGGTTTTGTGAAGAACTCATTGTAAAGCTGGTGTTCATCTTGGCAAACATGGACCATAAAGGCACAACCGCTTCGTACCTGTGTTCAGAGAAACACATATACTCGATCACTAAATGATTTTCCTTGCAGCAACAATAAAGGAAGCATTACAGATATATCACTACAGCTGGGATAAATTTGAAGTTTTGTGAAATTCAGAATTACTGAGAAAAGTATCTAGCTAAGGACTTAAAAGATTTTACTAGCCAAAAAGCAGCTCATTGTGCTTTTTTATGCATGATGGTAAAAATTACAAAAAATTCACATGACCTTAGGTCATAAACAAAACTGACAATTCCACAAGACACTGTTCGAATTTAACAAATGAATTTTGCTGGGAGAGAAATAAAACAAAAAATTAACTACAACGAAAGAAACACGACAGCACCCCCAAACATATTCCTGCTTTTCCTACCAGAGCACAATGATCTCTGTTGTTCTGACTGGTTAGTTCTGTAACGGTGCTAGCGATACTGGGACCAAGCAGAAGCTCCCTCTGGTCGAGGTAACACTGATGGATTTCATTGAGAAGTTGTTGATACCTGACCAAACAAACAAGAAATTACATCAGTAATTGCAATATTCATTAAAATTTCCTCTTTCAAATTTCCAATTATGTAGACTTGATCTTTTAAAAGAATTCCATTTTTAAAACTTTCTATTTAAAACTTTTCTTTAATGAAGCATACATTAAACACAACATTTTAACAAAATACAAAGACTAGAAAGTTAAAATATTGAAAATAAGTTATGTAGACATACTCACTCTGGCATTTTCTCAGATCTTTGCTCTATTTGCTCAATAAGAGTCTACTCAATAAAGAAAAAAAAGAATCATCAGTAATCAAATTTCTCTATTCATTGGAAAGTAGTTTGAAAAATTCTTTTTTTTTGGTGAACAATTAATATGCACTACTCTTTGCACTCACTAATAATGAATTCAAAACCCATTTTCATGGCTTCCTTATTAGCAACTAGTTACCAGTCTACTTACTCTGACTTTGGGAGCAGCTGCTCTGAATTTTACATAAAACAGTGTGAAGGCATTGTCAGTATTTGGCACAGCTGAAGGATCCTAAAAGAAGAGATCAACAATTCATTAAAAAGGAAAAAGCTGTACTTGGCTTCTAGTAACAACTGAGAAAATTAGGCTCTAAAACAGGAAATGGGTTCTTTACATTTATATTGTCAGCTGAATAACTCTCCCCCACCTTCCAAACAGAAAGACAGGCTTGTTTCACAACTCGGATAAGGCCAGATGGAAGAACAAAGCCAAAGATTGAAGCAAAGGTCTCAACACTTTCAGTAATTACCAAGCACTTTCAGTAACTACTGAATTCTGTTAGAGATAACCGCTTTCCCTGGACCTGCTACACCACCAGATTAAACAGAAAAACAAAACAGTAGAACTGAAATAGGGCAGAAATCTCTTTTATGCATCAGTCTTGGAGCTGAGAAGCAAGTTGTAGCTGGAAAACCAGGTTTTAAGACAGTGGCCCCTGCAGCTACTCAACCACTCAATATAGCTACCCCTTAGCCTTGTTTAACCTACAGAGACACATCACCACCTCTCTCCCTTTACACACAGCGAGGACAGGAAAAACTCTTCCACCTTCCCCAACTCCTCCTTGCATCCTACAGTCCACTTGACCATCTGCTTCTACAAACACGGATCAAAATTCCCAAATGCTCACATCTGAGATAATAAAGTCAAAATAACAAACGCCAAGACTTCGTCAGCCCCTCTGCAGTCCTCAGCAGACTGTTGTTGTCCAATAGGAAATCAAATCACCTGATTGCAGCTGAAATCCCACTTGATTCAGTACTCCAGTTCCAGCAGAAGCAAAAACTGGATGTTTCAATAAAATATGCAAAACCCATGCAGACAGTAAAGGGAAGGTCATCTGACTCCTAAGAGAGGTTTCCTCCTTGACTCAGCAACTAAGCAGCAGTGAGAGGTTTAATTACTTTCTGTAGACATCCTTAGAGACATCCAGTCCCACCCGAACTCAACTTGGCCATAGAAATTCATATGGCATCAAGCCAACTCCTGCACCTACAGCAATATGCTGTGACTTTTTTTTTTTTTTTTTAAGTACCAAACAACAGAAACACTTAGGGCCAATTAACCAATATCTTTAATCAAAGAGCATTTTGTTTCCAAGAATACTAAGAACTTTTATTTCTGTCAGTTCTCAATTTTAGCTCTCCTTTTCATTGTCTATCCCTCAGGGACTTATTTTGAGTTTTAATAGAACTGAACACAAAGTATATAATGATTAGTTGGGAAAAAAAAAAGAAAGAAGCTAGAAAAAGATCTCGCTCTCCTCCTTATTCTCTGCTAAGATAACTGCAGCACGATTAATAAAGTTTTGAGGAGACCAAAAAAAATTCCCTAGTCCCACCAGAGTTAGTGGGAACCGAGCATCTACATCTTCCACAGGACTCTCAAACATCATTGTTACTATTTTAAAACTGACTGAAAGATACTGCAGGAACCCACAGGAACTTGCTCTGCTCCCAACACAAACCACTGCAAACTTATAATCCCAAAGTACTTGCCACCTGATACCAGGAGAGTCACGTTATAAACTCTCAGATTTCTGATTTTAAACAGTTTTTATCCTACAATTTCCCCATTTTCACTTTCATCCTCCAAGCATTCCCTGCAATGCTCCATGTCTCCTGTAATGAATCTCCAAAACGGGACACCCACAGAAGACACCTTTTTTTTCTGCACAGCATTTGGCAACACTGTGGTATTGGAGGTATGGAGGACAGGACTGACCTATTTTCACATGCAATTGCTGACACCTCCCTCCTTCTTCCCTCTTGCCCTCAGAACAACAGAATAGAAAACTGTCTGTATTAGAACAGACATTTTAGAACAGCACCAGTTACTGATTTCCCTTACCCTTTTCATTAACTGGCTTGTGAGGTTCTGCAGTGTGTTCACAGTGTATGTTTTGATCAGGTGCATAGCTTTAGAAAGGCATTGCTTAAACTTTGTCAAATATACAGGATAGTCTTTAAAGTTTGGCTGAAAGAAATAAGAAATGCATTTTAAATATGATCAGTAAAAGAGAGCTGCAAATTTTAATCAAACTTAAAACACCTATTTACTAGCTAGAAATGCTGATTTGTACAAACTGAAAGTGGTATTTCATAAATATCAAGCAGAAGAAAAGTATATTCAGTTAAATAGCTTGGTTGTATAAACTGTCATTTTTGCTTTCTTATTGTATGTAACAGAGTATGTTACAGGAAAAGCAAAGCAAAGTCTGAATAGGTGGTTTCAAAGCAGTATTAACACTTAACTAAAAGCAACATTGAATTACTTACATGTGAAGAAATATATGCAATACAATCATCAAGCTTAGCCAGCATTGGAATGAATCCTTCACTGTTCACAGACAGCGTAGGGGAGTTCAATTTCTTCGGAAAATAAGACAATGCATCAATTACAAGGAACCTAAACAGCTTGCTTTGAGATCAAGTTTTAAAGATTGGCATATTTTCACTTTTTAAGATTATTAAAAGTGAAATATTACTTACTGTGCTAATATTTTCCAGCTCATTAAAATAAGAAAGTTTTTGCTGGATGTTTTCAGCCAGGTCAACAAGTTCTGACTGTTCAAAAACAACGAAAGAGATGATTAGTAACACAGCAAGTAGTTTATATTTTAAAAATAAAGTCTTCAGCCTCCCTCTCGCCAAAGTCATGACATAAAAAGTTCTCAGCACACCCACGTTAACTAGCTCTAAATAACCTGTATCCAAATAAATACAATAAATAAAAAAGTGTAGATTTTCCAGGGCAGTAACTTTGAAGGCTTTAATTTACTTGCAGACCTTGCTTCTCTGTGCATCAGAATAGCCCCCTTGCAAGCACACAGCATCCAAAGGGTCACAAACCACTTGGAACGACGAGTGAGGATGGTCAAAAGCTGTTGGGACTATCTTTTGGTCTGCAGATTTTTGTCTTAAAAAAAATGCCCCTCAACCTACAAAATGGAGAACCTTCACAGACAATTTCTACAGTGTAGCTAGTGTTTCTAATGCTGACTTAAAAGTTTAAGGTCTTTCTTTTAGCAGCTAACGTAGAAAACTGGTGGTTCTTCCATAAAGATGGACAGTTACTACAGCAGCTGTGGATGAAGGCAGCACATACTAACAAAAATTTGCTTGTTTCCATTTTCCAAAAAGGCAACTCTGGTATTTTCTCCAGCACCATCCTATTATATTTCTTTTTTTGAAAGCATACATATGCTCCTATTTCACTATGGTTTATTAACAGGTTAACTACTTTAAATAATAAACCACAGGGAAATCAGAGCAGATGAACAGCTCTTGGAACCGCTCATGAGAAAAAGCTATTTAGGAGAGATAATCTGGTCACGTAAGAAAAATAAATCTTCCTGAAAAAAAAAAAAAAAAACAGCTAAAAGTACTCCTGTAAGTAATATGGATTACTAATCTCAATACGGTTTGTATATGTTAGGTATAAATTAGCAAAGCCCTCATTTGCTATGGAGCCTTCTTGATTAAAGTGCAAATCAAAAGGTACTGAACATTTTACACAGAGAAGCTTCCAGTAACCCTCCCAGCAAAGATTACCTGCTCTTTCAGAAGTTGTTCACAGGCTTCATGTAGTGTTCCTGTCTTTGTGGACACAAAGAGATACTGCTTCTGCAATGACTCCAGATGCTGAAGGGCACTATTCACGTCATTCAGTATAGCATCACACTGCTCCTGAAAGCCAGACAAGTAATCCCTCATCTGTCTACAGAAAGAGAACCAAAAGGTAACAAAGGTCAGATTTCACTTTCCATGTTTGCAACTTCAGTGGCCTCCAGTGACACTGGCACTCTCTTTTCCTGAGAGAAATCAATTCCAGGAAAATGAAAAGACTACTTGCATGAAAAGAGCCTGCACAATAAGTAGGCACTTCCTGACCTGCAGAAGTAAAGTCACAGAGTTTCCAACAGCTCCTGCAGTAACTCTGCTTCCCTGGCACCCCTCACATCAAATCTGCCCAGAAAGGGGCCACGTGTCCTGTAACTCGTCTAGAGACCAGTGCACACAGTGTCTAACAGCAGCACAGTGTCTGTTGTTGACCGATGCAGGCCACTGCTAACAGCTGCATTCTACCTGTCTTGCTTTCAATGGTGTGAGGATTTGGGCTGCTTCTTCTTCTATACAAGTCTCAATTTTCATTTGGAAATGAGTTTTACTTTTCTAAAGCAGCTGCAAATAACCAGAGGGTTCAACAGTTATCATCGGGGTGGAAAGAGGCTGAAATCAAACTGAAATCATACTGAATCAATATTCCGCATATAACGTCACCAAGTCTGTCTAAAGCTCAGTGCAGACAACCTCTAAATAATTACTAAATATTTGCCAAGCACAACATTTAAATAAGAAGTACTATAAAACGAATTACTCCTGGATGTCAGATTAAACTACTGTGTTATACCTTGCAGCATGTGAAACAACTCTGCCTTGGGTAAACCAGTGTACAACAGCCAGAGAATTAACTCATTTTAACTTATTTTCTTCCTGCTCCTTGGTCTCTGCAAGTGATTTCAGATTTGCCATCTTACAAATCAGTCTGCAGCCATTATACAGCAAAGTATCTATGTGCATTACAAATGCCAAGTGTACAGATGTCCCTTTTTAAGGTTGCGATTGATCCAAACTCAGCATAAGCTTAAATCTTTGATTTTAGGAAAACACCATGAATGCAAGCATCAAAAAAAAAAAAAAAAAAAGAAAGATACAGACCAGATTAAAGCACAAAAGCAGGACAGGATTTCTTTGTAGCCAAGGGCAAGTTCTTAAGATTTAAAATACAGGCCAGTTTTTGGAAAAGCCACTAGCAGATTCAGTTGAGCCATTCGGCCTTGCTCAGAGGAGACTCTTGAGGACCGTGAAAAGTCTGTGGGAGGCACCAGAAACAGCTGCCAATGCCTCGTTCCCAGAGCGGAGCCGAGCGACGCGAGAGGAACGCCAGGAACGCGGATGGAGCTGGCACTGGTCTGAAGGGCGACAGCAGAAATTCCTGCCACCTGCGCCCGCCTGCCAGACTCCCCATCAAAGGATGGGCTGCGACAGCGGCTGTTGGAAAGGCACGGGATATCCCTTACTCTGCCTTTGTCTACAGCCCAACCCATATGTCAAAATTAATTTCAGTTTGTCTTAATAAATCATCAGGCATGTCAGAGAGATATTTCTGTTCCTTGTAACTGCCCTGTCACAAGGTCAGCAGCCTCCAGGATGGGGGATATAGCCGTGGGAAGGAAATACTTCACCTGCACCAATACATTTCACAATCACAGAATGGTTGAGGTTGGAAGAGACCTCTAGAGATCATCCAGTCCAACCCTCTGCTCCAGCAGGGACACCTAGAGCACGTGGCACAGGGTGGCATCCAGGTGGGTTTGGAAGATCTCCAGAGAAGGAGACTCCACAGCCTCTCTGGGCAGCCTGTTCCAGGGCTCTGGCACCCTCACAGGAAAGAAGTTCTTCCTCATATGGAGCTGGAACTTCCTGTGTTTCAACTTACACCCGTTACCCCTCATCCTGTCACTGGCCACCACCGAGAAGAGTTTCCTGATGATTTAATTTGAATATGTGCAAACATTACGCATCATCTGAGGTTTACACTGTTCACAGTGAAAGCGAATGAGGAAGAACACCTACCTGTACTTTGCACCTTCATCGTGATCCATCTGTGTCTGTAGTTGTGCAAACCACGAGAAGAACTGAAAGAGATTTTATGGGGTCAAGAGCAATAGACTTTACAGGAAATAAATTAGGAAAAAAATCAGATGAATAAAACAAAAATTTAGAAAATGAACAGAGTAACTCCACCACTAAGCTAAAACAGGAAAAACTGAATTTCATTCACTCTTACTTGCACAGAAACAAGGCTGTCATATTAGGAAAAAAACTGTATTATGAGCAGCATCATATTGTCATAGCATGAGCAACATCTAATGAAACAATGCCTTACCCTCCCATACCACTGCACTCAAAAGGGGGAAAGCATCTGTTCTTAAAAGCCAAGACTTCATCCTTTTTCCCTCCAAGTTTCTTCTTATACCTTGAAGACTGCTAAAATATTTTAACTGAGCAAAACCTAAGCTAGAGGCACAGAAATTCCTATTCTCTGAAAAAGACTGTGGTATTCAGCATCGCTTACCTGTTGTGCCGTTTCAATTCTTTCCCCCTCCATCCCCAGCGTGGCAAATCCTTTCAGGAGAACATCCTCCGTCGAATCCGGCACCGCGGCCGTCAGCGCGACCGCGAGCGACTGCGCCGTCAGGCTGCACAGGTCCTCGATGGGGAGCTGCTCGTGGAAACCCACACACTTTGGTTACATTTCGAGGGTGTTTTACCTTTGCACGTGTTTGCTTAAAGAACTGAGCACGCGGGCACCTGACATACTGGTGAAGCATCCAAACGAATGCACTGAAGTATCTGAAGACAAAAGATTCCACTGCTCATGTAGAAACAAAAACCTGGCACTTTTTGCACTGTGCCACTCCACCACAGTACAGAACTGTCACACCTTTCTGTCTCATTCAGAAAAATCCTAGATTGAACAATGCTAGAACTTGTTGATGATGTTCACGTTCCTTCAAACATTTCTGAATGAATAAGTTCAGCAAAAAAAAAAAAAGGCTCTTCTACAAAGGCTCTGCTGAATGGGAGCTACGAGGTACATCATTTGTTTTTAAGCAGGAAAAATACAGCAAAAGTAACTTCAAAATAATCTTGTTTACATATAATTAGAAACTGTTTATTAGTTTATATTGCAAAATGAGTTCAGGAAATCAAACACTGTTACATCATTTTAACATAATACTCTTTAGTTCTTTGACAATTAAAGAATATTTTTCAGTATTGCTGAGAATATTAGTAACAGAACAACAGAAAATACTAAAAACAAATGAAGAGAGAAACAAATCTTCATATCTCTCTAGAAAATTACTAACTTTGTAAAATACTCGCTTAGTGAAATATTCATTGCCTAAGAACAGTAGTCTGGTAAAGAATGATTAGTGTTTCATCTATTTGAGATCCTGACTTATCTTTTTCAGTTTCCATGCGTACTCTCCCAAAATGCTTTTAGATTTAAAAAAAAAAAAAAAAAAAAAGAGGAAGTCAGGATGAAGAATTGCCAGTAAAAACTGCAATTTCAACCTGATTTCTGGATGCAGAAAATGAGTAGGCAGGACCCTAATGGAAAGTCAAGAACTGGTTCTCTTGGAAGGACAGAATCAGAACCTGTTTTTTTTCTCAGAAAAGCTGAGTGCTGCCACCCCAATCCTCTTCAGCAGGTGTCAAGCCAAGCTGAAGCCCTCAAAATTAAAAACATTCCAGCTGTGCTAAAGTGTAAAGCACAGTAACTGCTGTGTTACAGAGGAGGTTTAGATCGTTAAGGACATCCTCCAATGGCTGAACATCCTCCTAGAGTCATTCTGGGTGCCTGCCAGCGCTGACAAACACAGGTACAAATGGCTTGCAGCATAAATTGAAAGACCTGGAGGAGAGCAGGCTCTGGAACCACAGGGATGTGTTTCAAGAAGGAAAGGTTTCACCCTGCCTTGGCTTCTAAACTCTGAAACACCTGTTGGTACGCAGGTGTTTACAGTACTATAACTTATGTCCTCATCCTATTTGGCAGGAAACCTCTCATGAAAAGAGAGGAGTTACAAAGACATAACTCACGCTTTCTGAAAGCAAATCAAATACTTTCTGAACACTGAACTAGTAGAACTTCAGCATGCTACAGAGAGCTCACTAAGTCTCTTTTTGTTTTGGTGGAATACTTTTTTTTCCATTATTAAATATATTCAAGACATGTGTGAGGAGAACTGTAAGCAATTAATAATGTTTAACAACAAGATAGCGGGGTATTTGCAGCACTTCAATACACTTTGCTGCTGTCTACAGGAACCGAAAGGTTGAGGAAATGTTGTAATACTAAAGCACAACTTGACACTACACTGAGTTGCTTAAACAAAAGCCAATTTTACCTTAAATTCGATTAACTCCCCACTCATTAAACAACTGCTCCCCAGGACAAATCCCCACAGTGTTGGTTTTGGCGTGGCTATAAAAACGCAAATGTTTCCCTGCCCCTCCCCGGAGGGCAGGAGGCCTCATAAATAACGCACCAGCTCTTGGGTTTACGTTAATATTTTATAGCTGTAGGAGCGATCGGGGATTGATCCATCCCAACAGCGGGCGGGGAGGCTCCATTTCCACCCCGCCG